GTATTATTTGGTTTCCTTCAGTTGTGTGTAGTGATCAATGTCTTTAACTTAGTGTCTTTGAGCAGCCATTTGTGTTGTGAACGATTTGGGCATCTGTTTGTGTGTCAGAAATGCCAATTATGTACACTAATATCTTTGTACGTAACATTTGGGTTTGACAAAAGTTCAATTAAAGACCCTTTTATTTCATTCATTTCAAAGAAAGAAACTGTACATGACCCTTCAATTTGACATTTTCAGAAAGTTCAGCTTCAAGATTGTATCATCACTGGAAAAAGGCAATCTTTAGGGTTTATCTCTTATTGCTACCACACAATTTGTTTTACATTCGCTTGAGAAAACTAGTTTCTTCAACAAGACTACAAATCTCTTATCCAAACATGAGACACTGATCAGTGTCGGAAACCAACAGAATTCAAATGTTTATTATATTTTCACCAAGATGATGACTAGAGATTTAACTTGTGTTTACGTTTCAGAACTGAGACTTGTCAAGGCTGTCGAAGTATGGGTGATCAAGTGCTGTTTTCGCTTCAATTCTTTCGGTTGGATTGTACTTGAGCATTTTCTGCATTTTGTTGAAAAGCTCAATCAGATGAAAGTGAACAAGAGATAATTCAACAAAGAGTATTCACTTGGGAGAAAGAGGAAGCAAGAAGATCTTAGAGCTATCTTTGCAACAATAGTCATATGCGAGAACTGGTCAGGCAGTGAATTACCGTGAGAAGATCAACTCCTTGAGGCGAAAGAGATGGAACAGCGCGTGTTAAGTTTTGTCTCTCCCACTTTGGGTAGACATGCCAGTCACGCAGAGAGGAAACACCCGGCCATTCCTGCTCAGTGGGTGTTCCTAGCAATCTCCATTAACCAAACAAAAACTCATTTATAAGATACTAGTCTCTATACAAGAATGCTGATGATACAAGACTGGATACGAAAATCGGTTGAATTCAGCAAAAACAGTATATAAGGTCTATAGTTTTCGATTAGTAGCTAGCTCAATGATCCATGTAGCAGTACCAAGAAGAGCATATCACATGAAACCAATGGAAGTTGAAATTCAATGGAGATGCAAAATACCTGAAGATATGAAGCAATTGCTGAAACTCAGAATCACCAGGGAATAGAGCTTGCCTCCTAACCATCTCAGCTGTACAAATTGAAAGATCGAAACAAACATCAAGACAAAATCACAACACAGAGAGACGAATATCAAAATTGTAGCAACACAGAGACTAACCAAAGATGCAACCAACAGACCAAATATCAACAGCAGTTGAATAATGAGTGGAGCCAAGAAGAACTTCAGGAGCTCTATACCAAAGAGTAACAATCTCATGCGTATATGCCTTAAGAGGTACAGTGAAAGCACGACCTAAACCCAAATCAGCGATTTTAAGAAGCTCTTTATCTTTCACCAGAAGAAGATTCTGCGGTTTCAAATCACGGTGAAGCACACCGTGACTATGACAATGTGCGACTCCTTTACAAAGCTGAAACATCAACTTCTGAATCAGAGAAGGATCAAGTGGCTTAGGATTAGCACATTTCCTATGCGAATCGATGAATTTCTTAAGATCGGTATCAAGGTACTCGAAAACGAGATAGAGATTCGATTTCTGGGATTGAGATTTGGTTGAAGATGATCGAAGAACGTGCTCGACGCAGAGTAATCGAACGACATAGATCGATGTTGATAACATCTGGAGAAGCGAAATCTCACGAAGTGCAGTTGGTGGAATACCTTCGTCGTCGATCTCGAGCCTGGTTTTCTTCAGAGCGACAAGCTTCCCTGTTCCTTTCTCTATCGCCTTGTAAACTTTCCCGTACGTTCCTTCTCCGACTTTCTCTAGCTTCTCGTATTTCTCCATTACTGGTTCCTTGTGAAGATTGATCGATCTTCTGGAAATCGAACTGTGACGGTTCTCGATTTTGAAGGAACCCT